CCTAGCCCAGCTGTAGTCGGGAACGCGCTGAAGTGGCCCCTGGCCCTGCTCCTGTCGGGAGCGCGCTGCAGTGGTTCCTAGCCCAGCTGTAGTCGGGAACGCGCTGAAGTGGCCCCTGGCCCTGCTCCTGTCGGGAGCGCGCTGCAGTGGTTCCTAGCCCAGCTGTAGTCGGGAACGCGCTGAAGTGGCCCCTGGCCCTGCTCCTGTCGGGAGCGCGCTGCAGTGGTTCCTAGCCCAGCTGTAGTCGGGAACGCGCTGAAGTGGCCCCTGGCCCTGCTCCTGTCGGGAGCGCGCTGCAGTGGCCCTCAATGAAGCAACAGCCGAGCCCCTGCCAGCCCCACCTCCGTCAGCAAGAATTACACCGTCTCCATGACAACGAAATCCCAAGATTGCAACTCTATTTTACATCATCATCTTCATTTTCCACCACCACCCCCCGGGTCCTTTTTAGGTTGTTCTTTCAAGAAGATGACGCGGTTTAATTCAAAAATCAGATGAGAATTAGCATAGCCAAGGAAGCTGACGTACCCTGAAAATCCAACAGTCTTGCGTATGAACAGATGGAATGTGAAACTCTTAAAACAAAACTCTTCAATATTTTTCTAATAGGCCGATAAAAATCGGTAAGTGTCAACCAGGTCAGATCATGCCAGTTAATCTCTGTTCTAATCGCTTCGAACCATTAACTATCAGAATTAATCCAGTTCCCAACCCAGACTGTCATCCAGGGGTCTGGAAATGTCACAAGGTCTTTCAGGATCTCGACCAGGCGCTTGGCTGCTTAATATTTCATACAATTTTATACAATGTATTGATACAATTGTAAAAGTTGCGGATACAATATTTATCTCAGTCTGAGTGGGAGAATTTAGCACCGTTTTAAATAAATGCGTATCAATGTTGCTATTAAGTAACTGGTTTCATCCAGACTGGAGGAATTAATCTGCGTGATGGAATTTTGTCAGGTGCTGCAAGGTTGTGTTGAAACCCAACATAGCGGATATTTTTTAATGCTAAAAGAAAATAATTCCTAAAAACCTGTTTAGATGAAAACAACACACTGGAGCTGATAATTCAGATGTGTATTTCTGGCATCTAGCCTTATCCCTGGGGCTGCACATATCAGCAAATAACGTACCCGCAATCTCTCAAGATCCACAGCTGGCAGGACGCTGTCTCCATATAATGCCCAACAATTTGAGCCCATGCTGACAAAAATTACAATTGAAAGGTGGAAAAAGGAAATTGAACTAACAAACACATGATAAATAACTGAAAAATAGTAATGGTCTAGATCTTCGGAGGAAGACAAAAATATTGGGCTGGATTTTCTGACAGTGGCAATCTCACGTTGCCCCTTATTTTAATGTAAGAAGGAAATGTCCACATTTTTGAGAGGTGACTCCAACCAGGGCTTGTTCAGAAATGTAAAGCCATACTTGTATTGTGGCACGTATTATCGGGGGAAGGCGAAACCCGCGGCCCCCGCACCACCACCCCACCCCCAAAACCTGTCAGAGTGGTGAGCTGTCCAATGCTGAAATAGGAAGATCCTGCTGCTGTCAAACCGCCGAAGAAGGGTCCCGACCCGAAACGTCAGCTTTCCTGCTCCTCCGATGCTGCCTGGCCTGCTGTGTTCCTCCAGCTCCACACTGTGTTATCTCTGACTCCAGCATCGCAGTTCTTACTATTACTGAGCAAATACATAAGGTATGTGTAATGTTAGGGTGTTGGGAGGGTAAGACGCAAGATAGGTAGGGGATATGGTATCAGGTGGACCAGGATGCCAGGTAAGTAAAGTGATGGCTTGGTAGGGATAGGCTGCAAGAGTGAGAAGCCTTTACCCATCTGGCTAAGGTGCCATGTGGGAAGAGTATCAGGGTGCTAAGTGAATAAGTTGCCAGGTTGTAGAGTGCCAGCTGGAATGGGATAGAATGCCAGGTTTAGGATATCAGATGGGTAGGGTTATGTTATCATTTAAGTAGGTTACCACCTGGGTAGCATACCAGCTGAGTAGGAGTAAGCTGTCAGGTGGGAAGGATGTCAAGTGGGAAGGAAATAGGATACAAGGTAGCAAGGGAGGGGCAGGTAGTGTTTAGGGTAAGTCAGGGTAAATTGGAGCAATCACATCTGGGAGGGGTGAGGAGCCTAGGTTTCACATCTGGGAGTGGTGAGGAGGCTAGGTTTCACATCTGGGAGTTTCTAGTCTGGTCAAGCGGGGGGCGGGGGTGGGAAGTTGGGTCTGTTCTGGGTTTAGGGAAGTTGTGTTGGGTCTAGCTAGGAGGAAGTGGGAATGAGTTTGGTCCATTCTGACAGAAGGTTGGATGGGCAGGAGATGAATTGGGACAGGTCAGATCTTACAGCAGAGATGTCAGGTTGGATCTGGTGGCATTGGGGGAGGTGGGTGGTTAGGTCTGGTCTGGTTCGTTGGGGCGGGCTGGTGCTCATGTTGGGTCAGCATGGTGATGGGGCTGGGTTGGTTCTAGTAAAAGGGGAAGAGGGATCATGTGCAGAGCAGTGGATAGGGAAACCATGTCAGGCAGTAATGGAAAGGGGCATCAAGTCCCAGGGGAGGTATATGGCCAAGAGAGCTAACTGGCCAGCATATTCAGAGTGTAAGTGGTCTGGTGAGGTGTTTTTGGGGCTGTAAGTATGTGGTGAGTTGAATAGTTCCTCAGGAGTTAAACCATTGATGAGTGGCTGTCTCTCCCAGATTTCTACCCTGGCCCTTTCATTTTTTATGAAAGAGAGGAACTCTGCAGTTCAGTGAGGAGATTCTGATCAGGGATCCTTCAGAAATGTGGAACCATACTTCTATTCTGACAGTTCTTTTGCAGTACATAAGTGTAAGAGGAAAGAAACTCATAACCCCTTTTATTTTTACAGCAGTCAGCTGCCATATTCTCACATTTAAAAGGTCCAGATAGACATTTTGACATAAGCTCTAGTACATAAGGTAAGTGTGATGTTAGAATGCCAGGTAAATACAGTGGCAGCTGGAAAGATGCCATCCTACTTATCTGGTTAGGAGAGTGCCAGCTTGGACAGGGGGTAGGGTTCCACAGACAGGATGTCAAATGGGTATGCGGTAGAGTGCCATTAAGTCAAAGTTAGGGTGCAAGATAAGTAGGGTAGCAGGTGGGTAGGGAGTAGGGTGGTAGGTGGGTTGGGAGTATGGTGGTAGGTGGGTCGGTAGTAGTGTGCCAGGTGGGTACCAAGGGTCAGGTCCAGAGAGGCGAGGGGTGGGACTGACAAGTTTGATATGGTGGGGCATTGGGTCAGTTCTGGCACCAGGTGGGGTCAAGTCTTTTCTGACAGGAGTTGGGGGAAGGTGTCAGGATGGGTCATGGCTTCAGAGAGGTGTAGAGTCTGGTCAGTTCAAGTGGGCTGAAGCAGTGGGGGTGGTGCACTTGGGTTCGGTTCAGAAGGGAAGGAGTGTCAGGTCACATCTGGTCTGGTGGGAGAGGGGTTGGAAAGTTTGGGTCCAATGTGGCTTGTGGGAGGTCTTGGATCAGGTCTGGTGGAGATTTATTGGTGGTCTTAGATCCCATTCAGTGTGGATTAGCAGGCCAGGGTCTCAGGATGTAAGTGGTCTGGCAAAGGTGTACTTGGGCATGTGTTGGCTAATTATGGGGTTAGTTTATTGCTTACTTAGGAGTTAAACTATGTATTTAATAGTCTGCCTTTTTCTGAGTATTTATTTTACTTAATTTCATTGGAACCATTCAAAGTCTCCAAATTAAATGGAGATTTTTGGAGGGTTCCAGGTGCAGAGGAATTGCCCAGCAGAAACTAAGTTTCCCAGAAATTCCTTTGGAGTGTGCTATGATGGGGATTCTGAAGGATCACCATTCCTACATATCTCTGAAGGAGATATCAATGACCTTTTCCATTAGGTATTCATGACAACTTCAAGAGGAAATTTGCTACCAAGTGTGATTACTGGCAAGACTCAGGGGTGTCACAATCCTGGGTGAAATGTAACCGATGAAAGAAATCATTGTATCCCATGCAAAATAACAGGAGAAAGCATTAACTATTTA